AGATAAATAAATTCTAAATTGTAAGATGTAAACTCAGAATTCAGAAAAAAGTCAGAATTGCGAGACAAACTCGCAATTGCATTATTTAGTTATATCGTTTTTTGTATAGTTTTTTATTGCGTGGCAGAAACAAGCTTCCATGCATAGGTAAGCGGTGTGATACGAGAGACGTGAAAGAAGCACCGGCCTCAGGTTCCCGGATGAGCGGGTCTGTTATTCAGTGTTGTTATTGATGACGATGGTTAATGGTGAATAACAGACCTCCAAATGTCACAACTCACAAATCCAAAAAAAAGCTGTGTACTAAATAATAAGAAGTAAACTTAGTTGGCACTTACCTGGCACTTTCCACCCAGACAGGCAGAAATGGAACCACGTGGTACAGTATGACCAGCTTCACACCGCGTCCCATCGATGAACTGAGACCCACGACTCACCATGAAGTCCTGCTCACGTGAGCGACACATCAGTTTACACTGAGCATCACCTGGAAGGGAGAGAGAGACGTAAAGAACAGAGAAAACAACAAAAGACAAATTGAACAGGAAGATGTTTATGGGTGCACCTGAGCTGTGGCCGACAGCAGGGATCCAGGTGTAGACTGAGCTGGAGTCTGGAGACACTGACAGAGACTGCTGGTCTGTGGCTGAGCACTGCTGAGACATGAACTCCAGCTGAGTCGACTCACAGGGCTGGAACAAGCAACAGCAAGACACGCATGTCACTTTAAACCGTCAACTTGGTTTACTTCATTTTACAGGAAGCAATGTAAAGTTACGTTTTCAAGCTTTCTTGCATATAAACAGTAGCAAGTAATGAAAACAAGCTAGTTACTTAAAAATAGATTAAATATTTTATTTGTTTACTGCATTTTATGTTTACCACAACCTGCGAATTTGTTGTTAAATTATTGAAATATTAACTTCAGGGTGTACTTCAAGCACATATTATAACAAATATAATTTATAACAAATATACCATTGCTAATTGTTAATTCATGTTTGTTTATATAATATATGGACTAATATTACTTTATACAGCTTGAATAGCTGAAATGTTATAGGTACATGCAAAAAATGTATGTACACTTCCCTTTAAAAGTCTGGGCTCTGTAAGATTTTTAAAATGCTTTTGAAAGAAGTCTCTTATGCTGACCAAGGCTGCAATTATACAGAAAAACAGTGAAATATT